ACCTAACAGACGGTGTCCTGCATATCCACTTGAATGTATAAACAAAAATTCATTCAAATTAGTTCAGCTGTTTAGGATAAATAACCTAAACATCGACTGCAGCGCCATCTGCCGGGATGGTTTGTGAATCTAAAACATTCCCAGATCCCCTTGAACACACACAAAAAATTTCATCAAAATCGGTCCAGTCGTTTGAGAGAAGTTTAGTGGCATACAGAAGAATTATATAAAGATACATAGATTATTTAGTTTTATAGTAGGTATGCAGATGCATCACAGTCACAGTCAGTTCTAACAGTCATTTGAATTGTTATTGTGAAATAATTAGAAATAAACGCTTCGTTATACAACACACGAATTATTATCTGCTACTGTAGTAACTATTGTGATTGCTAATCGGTATAACGGTTTTCAGATGTGATTGTTAATGATATTTGACTCGTAGAGAGTACAGATTTACGAAATACGTTCATAGAATAGATAGGTGGCCGTTTCTTCGAAAAACTTTAACTTTTATTTAATAAATCATTATCCTCCCGCGTTGTAAAGCATCGCGGTAACTTATTAGCATCTATATTTTTATTGGATTGGATGAGAGCAGTGACACGGCTGAATTTCTTGAAACTAAACTTTTTATTTTAATCAGCAGAACTGTTAACTTTGGCTTAAGGATAATGACGCCGATAATTTTTTCGTTTATTTTTGTAGAATCACCCAGGTACTTACTCACCTTTTTTAATACTTTTTCAGTACCTAGATTTTTTTTAATTCGCGTAAAATATAATAATGCACATTAGTTTGTATAAGACTTTTTTATAGATTTAATTTATTTTATTCCATTAAAATATTTGTTAGGTGTCTAGCTACGTATGTCATAAAATATTGTTTGCTGAAATGGACAGAGAGGTTAAGGAATTTTTTTTTAAGGGGGGAAAATCATCGAATGACTGCTCCCGCCTGGGTGAGGCGGAAGGGAGTGTCAGACTCTTACTGACTAAAAAACAACCCCGTTCCTTCTCCTGCACGTCGAGCCGGAGCCCCGGTTACCCGTTAGGTTCTCCGCGACGAGAGGTTAAGGAATAGGGCGTCGTTTTTCCTCGTTTGTAAGATAATCCTAAAAACAATCAGCCGAACATAGAACCTCGTCCTTGTTTTGAAGTTGGTAACCAACATAACCTATAAGTAATTTAACACAATGCTACGACTAAATGCGACGTCGCAGAGAAAAGTTGTAAGTACCCATTCGTAATTTTCAAAACATACTTCCGATATGAATGAAAGAACACGTCAACGTAAGACTACACATAGAACGTGCTCTAATACTATGTTATACAATGTGTTTCGGTTATACACTGCACGACAATTGTTATGACCAGGGTAGTAAGACCCTTAGACAAGTAACCATTGATTTGTTATAGGACTTCATTCATTTTGGTCGGTATATGGATTGTAAGTACCTGCGTAAGTAATACTGGGTCTTATTGTAGTACCTACGTTGCTAATGTAATGTGAATATCAATGAAAACTCTTTGGTCGATTTTAAACCTGCATACTGGCTTGAAATGAAAAAAAAACGTTGGTTTATGAAAAACGAAAAAAGAAACAGACTATGATGATTATCTGAATGGACGAAATTTTGCACGGGTTTTCAATTTCAGGATTTATATTCTTCAACGAAAGGTATTAAAACGTAGATAAATATACACAAAAATCGTTAGAGGTAAGAAAACAAACCGCACGTGCTTGTTAAAGTAATGCATTACTGTTTAACACTCACATTCACATAGAAGTGGCTCTTTTTAAACATAAAAAACAAGTTTATTTTTTACACAATGACCATGACCATTGAACTGTCTTTAACTCGCTATAGGTCCCTATTATTAGGTATAGATACTCTGCGCTAACCACAAATTTAATCTTTCTCAAAAAAAAAATGTTCGTAAAAAATTAGGTAGGTAAATAATGAAATTAACACCCAACGCGAGCCTATAATAAGGTAAGATAAATTATATTATGAGTGAAAAATACCTAGCTAATACATGATTATAGTAGTAACGCAGGTTTACTGCAAAGTTAATAGGTAGGTACGTTAAGTTTTTGCACATGGAATTTTAAAATTGATTAACCTGATAGTTTGAAAATTGAAATAAAAAGGTGTTGTTACGAGACGTGGCATAGACTTAACCTTATTCTTAACACGAATATTTCATTAACAATCGAAGTTAATTAGAAAAATAGCATTATTACATGGAAAATAATGGTAAATTCATGTGATTGAAGCATCGCAAGCATGTTTCCGATAGTCTCAGTTATTACAGGCATTGTCTTGTTTTTCTGAACCCATCTATAATACCAACCTACATATTTTTTTTACAAAGAGCAAAAGTAAGGAGTCGTCCCTAAATCAGGTTATATTTTTTTTTTCAAATAAAGGAAGTCACTTTTAAAATGGTTGTTTTAAAAATATAACCATTGTGTAGGTAAGTGACTGAATCCGAAACAAAAGTTTATTTTTATTGTCATTTACCTACGATTTACACTAGCGTTTTACCGTTGCTGAGACTAGAATTATGAGTTGTTATTAAAAGGCCTTTAGGAGTAGGAATACTTATTTCACAAGCATAATGTTATTAGCGCACGTTTACTTCATATTTTTTGTAAGGGTTTATAAACTAGTCACCAATATTAAAGCAAAATAGTTTTAAAAAAAAATAGGACTTACCTTATACTTCATTTTGAATAAAACACGTCCCCGTACAACAAAAACACAGCACTAACAGTTGCAAAAAAATAATTGTATAAAGTAAAAAAATAGATGTGTCATATAAAAAATAAAATAATAAAATAATATCGTCAAATCGTTTGTTTGAGATCGCGAAATATTTTGGCGCGCAATTCACGATATCCGCGCATGCGTGCAGTGCGGCCGCGCGGTAATGGCTGCGCTTTACTCGACGCGACGGTTTTGCTTCCCCGCCATCGAAGTGCAACGACCCAATACTGCGCGCTCAAGCACTTCCTCAGCTCGATGCAATGAAGGTGAAGGTAAAAGGTGAAGTGCGAAATTATTGCCGAAATGACCACCTACCCACAACACGATAAACAACCCAATCAACCGATAATGCGTTTCACGCAGTTTCACGGTTTAATATTGCAAATATTTATTGAGACAGTGACCTACTGTAGCTTTGGGCAATTGATAACGACAGCTTGTAACTTAATTTAACCATGATTTTACGATTTTTGTGTGAAATCAAGTAAGTTGGTACCTAGTGATGTTTGCTCGAGATTCAAGGGGTGACTGAAATCATTTTTATGAAACATAATTAGGTGTGCTAGTTTTAGCTGAAATATAATAATACCTATCAGAAAAAGTGGGTAGCTATCGGTATTACTGAAAATTATTTTACCTAATATTATGAGTTTTAACAACCTCGTTGGTCGAGTATTCGCAAGTGCGACTGCAATGTTACTTGTAGCACGATGTCCGAAATTGCGCCCAGTATATGGCAATAGGCTGACCCCCTATTATTACATGGGCTCATAACATACCTAAATAGTGAAACTTGGGTTTTACATTGTACCTTCTGGGATAAAAGGCGTAATGTTTTGTTATGTGTGTTTTGTTAACAATATTGTATTTTTTCTAACACTTTACTTTATCTTATCCCGTCAGGCAGTGTAAGACGTGATGTTTGAGATGTTTCGTCGTTACCTGGTTGTTTTATTACATGGAATTTCTTACAAAGTAATAAGTACCTAGGCACTAACTTTGTATGTCACCTACCTACCTACTTAATGAACTTTACTTGGCATGCTGTTGGGTGGAATACGGGCACGGCAGACGGACCACTCTCACTCTAAGTAGGTACCACAGAAGTTATAAGTGCGCTACCGGCATTTTGGGAGGAGGAATTAGGCTTCCAAACCTCCTGTGTAACCGCAACTCTTTGTCTCACGCCGGTTTTCCTGTGACGCCGTGATATCAATCTAGTCAAGCCCATTCGTGCGAAATATAGCTCTCCCACATCAAAAACGTAGTGAAGTTAGACTGATAAATAAATGCAGAAAAAATTAATTTAATGTTTATCTGACCAAGACCTTAAACAGTGAGATGATAGAATTGATAGATAAGTACGAAATATTTAAATCTATGATTTAAGATATCCAGTTTACCTACCAGTAATACCTATTTATTTATCGATTATTACGATAGTACTGATTACTAACTCGTTGATCCTAACTAAGTATTTACCAGAGCGACTACTGAGCCAAGGAACATACACAATTCCCTTCCCAGATCGATCAAAGTACTTAAGTAGAGAATTATTGCATAATTTGTAACATCTTCAGCAAAGAGATGTCTGACGTCATGTTTAAATTTTTGACGGGGTTGGGAAATCTGTTACAGGATGTTTCGATTTTTAGAAAATTTCTCAGTTTTCAATACATGGTACCTATCACATAAACATAGAATTCTTAAAATAACTGGTTTAAACCGGATGTTAAAGCGCTTGTAGATGTCCGTTTTTCACTGGTTAACCGAATCCGGCAAAGAACAGGGTCTCCGTTGTCCAGTGGATGTGTTTAATAAGCGCTCTAACGAACCCCTTCGGTAGTAATAAAGCGTGGTAAGAGTTAAGTTACTATTAAATTTGACTAAAACCTTAATACCCATCAAAAACTTAAATAACAATTTAATTACCTTTTTTTAGACATGCCTGAAAACAAAAGGAAGTTGAAAAATAAAACAAAAATCCAAACTTCTCTATGCTTGATTGTCAATGATGACAGTTTGACATCTGAAATTGTCTATGTTCATTTCTCTTTTTTTTATTTTATTGTCTATGGTTCGAAGGACGCCTCCTGTCTGAAGCGTTCCCAAAAAAATGTATATTTATAAAATGTGAGAATTATAATTAATATTTACCCGAGTAAATATACTGAATTAAAGTTGTGATATTAGTTTTAGTAAATAAGAATCAAATTCTTGATTCAAGATGATGGAACACGTGCGAATATTTGATTGGTAAGTTAATTTTCGAAAGACAATTTTGTCGGCGTCCCCAACTCCCCAATGCAAGCTTGGGGTGCAGGCTTGGGGTAGATCGACATTTTTTTATAGTTTAAAATATTGCTCAATCGCCAATTATTTTCTTTGTTTTTATTTTATTTTGGGCTCAGATAGCCATTAGCAATAAAAAATGCGAAATTGGCTGTTCTAGTGAATATTAAACGTACCTAATACACACACATGGTGTTTAGACACGCATGGGATTGAACAAGCCACTAAACCAGTACCTACCACTAAGAGTACCTATTGAACACAAAATGTCGTACTATGCTACGATACGCTATGCGTTATTATCATATATTACTTGAAATTGTTTTGATTATTTATTTTTTTGTACAAAAGCGAATTATATCAATTTTCTTTCGAAGAATGTAGGTAGTCAATATTATTATAAGAGTCACATGAAAATTAGTACAACTACCCTTTATTTAAAACAACACCAAACAACATTTCCATTTTGTTCACATACACTTATTCTTAGCTTTAACTATTCTAGGTAGGTTACAATACAATGCCTGTATAGAATTAAATCTGTACCACAGACTGTGGTCGCATGCATTATACATTAGGATAATATAACTAAATCTTAACAATATTATTTAACAGTCACCAATATTACAAAACCTTATGTGTACATAAATTAGGAACACTAACTTTATACTTGACATTTATTAATCTGTCAAACACCAAGCGGTCACCGGTGACCGCGGCCTATTGTTCTTTAATCTGTCAAACACCAAGCGGTCACCGGTGACCGCGACCTATTGTTCTTTAATTGTGTCTATAAAACCGGTACTCGACGAGTTAATTGTGTCTATAAAACCGGTACTCGACGAGTTAAAATAATTATTAACTATTTATACCTATACATTATTTATTTAATGACAGTCAACAAATCCTCGCTTTTTTTTCATAACTTAATGATAGCAGATATTGAGAAATGTGCTGTTTTGCTCTGGTTTAAGTAAGCTAAGCACCTAGTCATAATAACTTAGATGATGTTAGTCCATCTCCAAAGTTGATTTTCAGCATTAAGACCTTTTTTTGTTCTAGGTGCTCATCAGCACATGATAGGTACTTTGTAGAGGAAACAGACTTAGATAATTGCAATACTGAGAAAATCCTGAGGAATAAGTTCATTGACCCTTTAGTATCTAGCGACTCTGAAGATGAAGCTCCTAAGAAAATTGACTGGGATGAAGTATTTCAAGATAAAAAGGTAAGTTTAGTAGGTAATTTAAGCTTACAAACATTTAGCAGATATGTGCTAACAGCTATTTCATTGATAAATGCCATACACGCTTTTGTTAAATATATGGAAAAAGTAGTCCAATAAATCTCATGAATTATTAATCATCTGTGAATAATGTGCACCGTCTTAAACTAAGAAGTACCTACCTATCTAATTTTTTTTTTCAGACTCACAATGGCAGATTGCATGTGCCATGTCTCCGTCGGGTAGCTCAGTACCCAAAGTTGTCTAAATTGGCTCCTAACAAACATTATCAGATGTTAAAGGTTTTATGTACTGAGAATCCTCATATTTTAGGAGATTCCTTTATAGGCAAGCCTTCCAGACAAGACTTTAAAGTATTTGAGGTACATACATATTTGTCTTGGTTATAAATTTTTTCATTAATACCAGTCATAAGTACTAACAACATTGAATACTTGCAGACTGAAAAAGAGACATATTTAGCTGAACAAAAAGAGTACAGAGACTGGGCGAAGACAATCTGGACAACTGATCACTTTATTCGTGCTTTACGACCGAAACCTTTAGTGGAGGCTGTGTACGAGGCTGAGTTCAAAATGAAAGCTTTACGGATGCGCAGCCTACCAAAGCAATATGATTTGGCTGCTCAGATAACTCTTGATAGTACGAGGAGTAACTGTGATGCTGTGCTTAAACAGGAATTGATTGGTGTAAGGAGTATTAAATTTTTTTTTTGCTTTGACCACGTTGCCCCACTCTGGAATTTTCTGCTGTATCGTGGGTGTGTTTACAAACAGTCAACTGGATAACACTAGATTACCTTAAATTAAAACTTATGTAAGAGAATATGATTCCATAATTATATTATAAATTCATGATATTGCTTTACCCCCAGGTGTCCTCAGCGGAAGTACCTTTAATTCAATTGCCAAGGAAAATAACGAAAGCAATCAATATTATTACACCTTGCATAGTGCCAGAACCATGCCAGAAACATCCTTACCAAATTGTATTACCTCGTAAGTGTTACTTAACATATGTAACTATTACTTTAAATTATCATTGATTTTCTGACAATTTCTTATAATTATCTACCTATTACATTTTACAATTCCTTGCAGATGAAAATACACTATCAATGATGCCAATAACAGAGGTACACAAAGAGCTGGCAACCTTTGCATGGACCAATGGAGTACAGTACATAGCAAGTGAAAATGCTCTGAAGTGTCTTGTACAGTGGAACCGATATTGGACAATACCCCTGTCTGTTTGTGAAAGTCTTAGTCCTGGTTAGTCTAAAATCATGTGAAATGTGGCTTTTCTGTCTGCATATAAATTCTCATAACATAGCCATAATCATTATTTTGTTATTAGACGGCGACAAAGCTAATGTAGTAGTATTGGACAGTGAGTTCTCAGTGAAAAAAGAAGTTGCAACAATCAGGACCTACAAAGCGTTCAGACATTTACTAGAATCCACACTTATACCGTAAGTACCGAATACATTACATAATGTATTTTTTCATGAAAATATCATAATGGTAGTGCACTTGCAAATTATACTTTTTGTCATTTCTTATTATTTCATGGCAAATAATTCATTTCCCCAGGTTAGCAGAAAAGGAGAAAGCACGGAAGAATTATACAAATAAAGAAAAGCCAAAAGAAATAGGTACCAAATTCTATGTGAATGCAAAATCTATATTTGAAAGCAGTGAGTTATCAAGTGATGAGGAGGAGGAAAGTTTAGTTATTGATACAGGTGTGACATTAACTTTAACATACTATTTGTTTATAGTTACTTGAGGTATTTTATCCTGTTCTTAATTAATGCGCTTCGTTTAGGAGAGGTCACAGAGTTTGACTCATCAAACCCAAAAAAGAGGTTGAAGACTGAAGATAGCGTGAGAAGGTCGGCTCGATTGACAAGTAACGAGAGCATTGGGTACAATACCAGGGCTGCTAGTCGCAGGGTCAGTGAGGAGTGCCAGGACATAGGAGTCTATAGCTGCACTTGTAAAGGTAAGCTAAAATATAATTACAATTTGTATATGGAGCATTATATTTCATAGAGCATATCATTAGTCATGAACATCTATAGTTCGTAAATCTAACAGATTCTACAACGTAACATACCTACGACCTTAAGTACTCTTCTTTGGTTCTTCAACTAAAAGTATGTTTCCTTTAACAGATACGATCTATGAAAAGCCTCCACGTCGTTCCTATAAAAAGTGGCAGTTTAGAAACAAAACAGACAATGAACACCTCGACGTTATCATACATTGTCCACACAAAGCTAGGGTAAGTAAGAAAGTAATTACTATTTTACCTAGGAATACAATTTTAAATTGAATGTTTCTATAATATTCTTGAATATTTGTCTACTATTTACTTATAAATTGTTTTCGTCCTACAGGATGGCTCAAGGGAACTAATATTTGAACCAACACCAGAATACCAGTTAGATTTAGGAGCCAGTGAACAATCCATAGACAGCTTGCGAAGCGTCGCCCTTTCACTCGCGCTCAGGAAGAATGCTGCTGTAGTAAATGGTATGTAGCTATTGTAATAAAATGTAGGCCACATCTATTTTAAACATGATCCACACTAGGATTGTCGCTTATATTGTGTACACATCAAAAAATTATCAACATTTTATAAATCACAAAATTTCAGCTAAGTTTAGTGATTTCATCTTGGAATGAGCCTTTACTCTTCACTAATTCTGTTCAGTTGAAACAAATATTTTGAGAATACTATCACCAACTGTATCTTCTATAGTTCGCGTGGATGGATCGGGAGGTGACATAGCGACGATCGACCAGCTGACTGCCGAAAGGTTTACAAAGAAACACCCTGACGTGACACGAGAAGTCATCACCGCCGTGCATACCACCCTCAGTCAGTTGCAGGGGCTACTGCCTGGGCACTATGTACTGCTACATGAGGTATGTAACCAGACCTGTTCAATTATTATTTGTAACTTTTTTAACACCTCCCAAGTCATTCTCTGTTGTAACCAAGAGCTTGGAGATGACAGTCAAAATATTACATTTAAAATTCTCCCCATGCCCAAATCCCCCAAAAGGAGGAGTGTTAGGAGTGTCAACAAGTGGCGCTAGCTTAATATTCCATGAGAAAAAGATTTCTTTTTCTTTTTATTTCTTCTCTCAGTCAACACCGAAATAATTTGTATTGTCAGCCAAGTCATGGAGCAAATAGTTTGCTTCTATCGTCCCGGTCTGGCCGTGGCGCTCGCCTACTGCTTCAGTTTGACAGCTCCCAGCTGGCCGAGGCGGACGAAGCACGCATGGTGCGCAACCCGCCTGTAATCAGCAATGCACTACTACCATACCACAAGTTAGTACCTTTACCATATTTACATATCGCTAATTGGGTCTAAAAATGTGTTCTCTAGTATAAAAATGTATATCTATGTTGTGATCATAAGTCATTTCTATTTCCATTTTCAGACATGGTTGTAGAAAATTTAGTGGCGTTACTCAGGCCAGATGTCGAAAATGGTCATTTGAACGAAATGAAATGAAATGAAAAACATTACTTAACCTTAATTAGTTTTGCGGTTTCTGTAATTGTTGCACACATTTTTAAAATTTGTTGCGCTTATAGTTTTTTAATTATTTCACAAAAACATTTTTGCTGGGGTAACGTTACCCCAGCAGGAAAGAATACAGCTATGCATTATTTTAGTTTTTTTATTGCAGAACAAATTTAAACTAATTCCTAAGAAGTCATGTACAAAATATGATAAGAATCAGCTTAACCATTTCAAAGTTCTAGCAAAACCAAAAATGTTACCCCAGCAAGATCTCGAATAACTTCGCAATAGCTATAGTCCATCTGTTTAGGTAATTAACTAAAGGTAAACAAAGAAAACCACGTGACACAGAGATATTTAACCTTCTATTACTTCAAATATTTCTCGTGTTTTAATTTTAACTAAATTCACTTTAAAATCGTTCATTTGTCACACACACACATACAAGTACAAATGCCTAAATCGTACAAGAGCCTAGCCTATGGGTCTATTTCATTATCATGATTTAATAGAAACTATTCTGAATCTGATGTACGGATTTCTTTCTTGTACGGATATCTGTCTTTGGGCCAAGTTTCTTCAATATATTTGAACACATTAATTACAAACGATGAATAACCTAAACTTAAATAACTTAATAACAAAAACAAAACAAAGAAACAAGTTAAATTCAACAAAATAGGAACGCGAGCGCAAACGACGAGAGAGCTGAGGCCTTAGTACGAGTTTGTTTTACGTTGAAAGTAATCGTAACGAGTACGCGTTCGGCGCTCTGATTGGTTGGTTCATTGGCGCCGGCCAATCAGAGTGCCGAACGCGTACTCGTTACGATTACTTTCAACGTAAAACAAACTCGTACTAAGGCCTCTGTCAATGGCGCCTGATTAACCGACTAAACGTAATACACGCTACTTTCATTGTCGCGCTACATCTTCGTTGTACTCTTTAATTTGACAACATTATTTTGCTTCGTTCTTAAAGAAACGTTTTGGATACCTGGGATTTTAGGCTCTTTATGGTGTCTATTGTAATGAAATATTATATTATTTAATAAATGTTATTAAATTAATATCCTCAAGCAGATATATTTAATATTTATTAAGAAATAAGTGAAAAGGAACAGAAACATAACATTTAATAGAGAAAACTGTCGTAAAAAGGGAAACAATTTTATTTTCTTATGAAGTATTTTGAATCATGGAAATGTCAACTATAAAGAACTCTTTTTATGGTTTGTTTACAAATAGTTAACTACCTAAACAGACGGAGTATAGTAATTATTTAAATATTTCCATTAGAAAGGAAAAGGTCTGGCTGGGGTAACGTTACCCCAGCAGGAAATGTTTTTGTGAAATAATTAAAAAACTATAAGCGCAACAAAGCCGCAAAACGAATTATCTATAAGATTCAAATGACCATTTTGACAACATCTAGCCTGGGTAACGCACACGAAAATTAATGTGTTTTCGTTCTAAAATGTGTTTGTTGTAGTACTAGTTTTCTTTTAATGTTTGCACACTTTCAATGTCTGTATCTCTTGTTTAAATTATTATATATAATTTATTAATGGGTGTATTCACACTTCAAACTGCACCAACCACTGTGAATATGTCTAATAAAACTTGCTTTTCTATAACACTAAATATCATACAAATACCATGATATCTTCCAGCCACTCGACACTGCTTTTCTCTGTCCCATGCAACTAAGGGCCATATCACATTGAAATTTTGGCGAGTGTTTGCATCCCTCGCCAAGTTCCAATGTGAAAGGGGTCTTAGCAAAAACTGGGACGAAGTTGTTGTATGAAGAAATGAAGATAAGACCTGCTTAAATGAAATATCATCGCTGCATTCTCTCATTCTCTTCGTCATTTCATTTTGTCTGTTTTCTAAGTGTTTAAATGTAACCAACCGTATGCTTCAAATAACCGTTGCTCTCGAGTTATCTTGAAGTACCATTATCTTTATTATTTATTTTCAACTTTCCTATTTTATACCTCCTTTACTAACCAATCATAAAATGTACAATACAAGTGTTATTTTTCCTTGCAGAGTGTTTTTTACTTACCTACAGATGGTATATGACACTGGCTATAAATGAGAGCTTAATGAGAGCGACTCGTTATTTGATGCGTACTATTGCTTATAATTGTTGTCTTATTTTACTAACTCTTTATCTTGGGGTGTCTATACTTTCTATGTGCTTATGTATTATGTTAAAATTATTCTTACAACTATAAATGTCTTTTGTACTGTGTATTTAGTTTATACTAAACTTTGTGTACCTACTGCTGTTTTGTTTAATTCTAAGACTTTATTTTATATTTATATTTTATATCTAACTGTACACCTTCTCTTCTCGATCTTATCCTTGTTTCATCCACCCAGCACATTGCTAAACACGGACAATGCTCTGCTGGTAATTTTTCCTACCATGACCTTACGTTCCTCTCCTACAGGATCCGCCCTCCTAAGTCCAAACCTAAAACTCTTTTCCAGCGTAATTTTGGTGGCATGGATCTTGAGAGACTCCGTGAGGATGCTGGCAATATAGATTGGTCTGGACTCCTCGCTACTGAAGACATTGATACTAAACTAAATATTTTCAACACCAAAGTCAGTGAGTTGTACGATGTCCATGCTCCAGTCCGACCGGTTAAAATTAAACACGTTCCGGCTCCATGGTTGACGGAGGAGATCAGGGTCATGATCCGGAAAAAAGCTGCAGCAAAAACCAAATTTAAAAGCCAGCCTAGTCCTGTGAACCGTGAGAGATATGTTGATATCCGCAATCGCAGCAACAGGATGTGTAGAGATGCACAACGCCGCCATATTCACAAGTCCGTTGAAAACGGAGATCCAGCTAAGGTCTGGAAATTTCTTAAGTCTATGGGCGTCGGAAAACCGCGTCAGGATGCTGTCTCTAAAGACCTTGATATCGAATCTTTAAATAAACACTTCTCTTCTTCCTCCAATATCAATGGATCCTTCAAATCTAAAACATTAAGTTACCTTTCTTCCCTTCGTACTCCTGATTATTCTCCATTCACCTTCAGTCAGGTCACGGCTAGTGATGTTAGGAAGAGTATAGTTGCTATCACCTCCAATGCCGTTGGCAGTGATTGTATCAGCCGTAAGATGATACTCCCTGTCCTGGACGAGATCCTCCCAATCATCTGCCACATCCTGAACTTTTCCCTGACCAGCTGTATTTTCCCCTCCTTGTGGAAGGAAGCACAAATTACTCCTCTCCCCAAAAAACCTAAACCAGGGAGTTTTTCCGACTATCGCCCCATTTCTATTTTACCATTCCTCTCAAAAGTCCTCGAACGCCTCATCCACAAACAACTTAGTATTTTCCTCACCAAATACAATCTACTCAATCCTTTCCAGTCCGGGTTTCGTCCGGGACATAGTACCACTACAGCACTAGTCAACATTACAGATGACATAAGATCTGGTATTGAGAACGGAAATCTTACTCTTCTAGCGTTGCTGGATTTCAGCAATGCTTTCAACACCGTTGATATCGATATACTGCTGGGAGTACTGAACTCTCTTAACATATCTCCGGCTGTGACTGATTGGTTTCGTAGTTACCTGTGTGGCCGCCGGCAGCGTATCCATATTGAAGGCTCCTTCTCTTCTTGGTCTAACACGACTGCTGGCGTACCGCAGGGTGGCGTTCTTTCTCCTTTACTCTTCGCAATTTTCATAAATTCTATCTCCAACGATCTTCTATCATCCTACCACTTGTATGCTGACGATTTGCAAATTTATTCACAGGCACCTCCTCATGAATTCTCCGAATCAGTTAAAATGATAAATACCGATTTGGCGCGAATTTCGGAATGGAGTAAGGTTCACGGGCTACGGGTTAACCCTTCGAAGACACAGCTCATTGTTGTGGGTAGCTCTCGACTGAGCTCAAGAATAAATTGGTCGCAGGTCCCACCGGTTGTATTCGATGGCACTACAATAACGTACAGCGACTCAGTGAAGGATTTGGGTGTTATTATAGACCGAGACTTTACTTGGGGACCCCAGCTGGGGGAGGTCAGTCGGAAAATGTTTGCATCAGCGAAGTCGTTGCGTAGACTTCGAAACTTTCTTCCTACTGCTACTAAAATTACGCTCGCTCAATCACTTCTTCTTCCCATCCTTGACTATGCCGATGTCAGCTATCTAGACATTACCGAGGTACAGCTAAATAAGCTTGAGCGACTCCAAAACTTCAGTATAAGGTTCATATTTGGTTTACGCAAATATGACCACATTTCCGAATATCGCAATAAACTCAAGTGGCTTCCGATCCGCCTTCGCCGGAATATGCATATCTTGTCCTTACTTTACAATATTCTGTATAATCCTGCAACCCCTAAATATCTTAAAGAACGCTTCAAGTTCCATCATGACACACATTCAAGATCCTTAAGAGCGTCGGAGAGGTTGAGGCTTGAGATGGCTCAGCATTCTACTAGGACGTATGATAAATCATTTACGATTCAGGCTGTTCGCTTGTGGAACGCACTCCCAGTGTCGGTAAGACAAGCACAGTCATTAGCTACCTTTAAAGCTAAAGTTAAGGATTATTATATGTCCACGTCATAGATCACGCTAGCTCCCTTATTACTATTTATTTAGGTTGTAGTTACTATTTATATATGTATTATATATTTATTTATGTTCGGTATGTATGTGTATGTAATTAGGTATATATATATATTTGTTATGATAGTAGTTAATATTTATGTATGCCATTGGACTACCCTCTTTAATTAATCAATGCTCCATACACCCAAAGGTTGCCTGGTAGATATCGCTTTTAGCGATAAGGCCGCCCTTGTACCCTCTTTATTTTCTGTAATTTGTTGATACTATATAATTACTCGCTTGGTGTACAATAAAGCATATTATTATTATTATTATGTATGTCTTTACCATTCACGGGACCACAGGGTCCCGGTCATTTGGGAGGCGTACGAGGGGCCGAAGCCAACTGCGCAGAGGCCCTTTAGACAACTTTAATATAAATGTAATGGACACACAAACCGGCGACTATCCCTGTATGCACTATGGAAATGCACCCAAGGACAGTCCCCGGTTAGTGTAGGACTATTGTGAATAATGGAAAAAAAAGGTAGGGCTATGGATGGGTTGCTGTGGACTGGTAAATTGGGAACTATGGATGACTATGGCACCTGCCGAAACAATGTAATTATTACACGTAAAAATGGCAGGTGGAGACTCGCCAACTCACCGACCGGGCCCCGGGAATGGCTGCTAGATATAGCAACAGAGGGGCAACGAGAATGTGAGTGGCTGAAGGGTTAAGAAACTACCACCGCTTTCTACTCAGATCATCAGCTCCAGCCGAAGCTTCCTGCATCCCTGGCCCACTCGCGACTTACGAATAGTTTCTTACCCTCCGAGCAGGATCACTGCTCTCGCGACTCCACTCTGGACGGCCAATGAAGGCAAGCCAGAGGTGGGAGACCTATTCCTTGTCATCGTTCACTCCAGCCAGCCAATTAAGGCAAGCCGGAGAAGAAGGAACGGTGACTTCTCCCTGGAGCACTCGGGATGATGGTAGCCCGCGGGATCGCTAATGCCCGTCACCTCGCCTCAAGGTGCCCTGCGGGCTTATTATTATTATTATTATTATATTTAAGTCAAATGTTTTTATTGCCTTATAAAGATAGCCGTATTGTAACTTCTCTCTCAGATACCGTAAAATTCTACCCTGCGCCTTCACGCCTTACGAGACACAATTAGCCAAAGAGGTAAAAAAACCGGCGACTAAGAAGAAAACCCCACCACAAGCTCTCAAGGTAAACATCTAAATTAACTGGAATGTTCCATAACAGAAGGGTAAAGTATGGAGTACACCATGAAATTGACTTACTTACCTTATTCCGTTGTAATACAGTTCAGATTGGAAGTATTTATGTGATTTGAGAACATAGTAAAATGTGTTTTAGAACTAACATAATATGTTATATTTTGTAAGTACTACCAATATGAATTTATTTACCGTTTTGGAAATGTAACTAAATAATTTCATGGCGTACATGTACACTTTGCTATCATCACTGTCCATCAAAGGATGTTAGCACAGTGTATCAAAGTTGGCACTTACCAACCCATGGTAATTGTCGCGGGTTCGATTCCCGCACGGAACAGACTTGTTCCGGGTCAGGAATTTTGTTCGAGACATCGATCGCCGTTGGAGAAATCCACGGCGGGTGTGTTGGTAAAGTTATTCGCAATAAATAATCGACTTGTCCACGTTATGTACTAAGAGTATATTCAAAACTGCGGCGGTCAATCGACCTGCAGTGAACCTTGGATTCAATTCCAGATATAAAAAAATGCTAATAATTACACACCCCATTGACACATTTGTTACACAATATAATAAAAAACAATAAAATCTATTAATTAATAAGTAACATTTCCCTCTAAATAAAGGCTCAGTCTGACGAAAAAACGTAATTCACTAATCGTTTTAGTGAAACCATAGTTTAAAATTAATCAAAGTTATTAAAAAACCCATACTTATGACATCTGCCGTTTTGAGTATAAACTTAATGGACAAAGCGTGGATAGATCGAGTTCACACTGAAATACGGGTTTTAAGTTTGTTTGTTTTAATGTTCTTTCTGGCCTGAATTTTCAGGTGGTTTCATGAGGAATATCGGATATTGACGAACTGAGGCAGTGTTTAAAATGTGCTTCCTATAGACGTCCAGCCAATGAGCCTCTAGAGGTGAGGTAGACGGCTATAGCCCACGCAGGTCGCCCTTAGGATAGGTTCGAACGGGCGAACTTGTGACTAAACCAGTAAAAGTATGTTTTTGTTATCTTTTGGTTTACTGTAAAATAGGAACTACCCGTGACTTCGTCCGCGTGGATGAACGTGAATTAATAATTATAATGTTAATTCATAATTCCTCGTCAACGTCCCTTGCAATAAGCAATGCTATCTAAGTACTAAGTAAATTATCGAAATTATGAGGAACGAAACTCCATGTAGAATCTCATCCGTTCCATTTAAGTTTTTAGTAGGTAGTATCAGATTCACCCCAATATCATTAATTTATACAAGTTCATCATATCATACAGTGTGCTAAAAGTAAACAAAATGTACTGATATTATTTCTGAGCATGTATTAGCTTTTACTAACTCATATATATGTAAAATCGTAACATAAAATGTCATGATTTGTGGTTGGTTCGGTCACGCGGGCGAAGCTGCGGGCACAGCTAGTTCCCGTAGAGTATCATGTCACGCAAGCACATTTTAAACGTCAGCTGTCTCAGTTCCCGCAGGTACGATACTATACAAACAGTACGATGCCACGTACACGGAAGTTTGTTTGTTTCAAATATGGAAATCTACTTGTTGTTAGTTGCAAGCGGAGCAGCCGGATAGCGAGGCCAGTCCAAAGGTACCATTGGGGTTATCCAACGAATTTGTCTTTCTTCCCGACGTAAAGTATCACACTGAGTGCAATGGCTTACAGAGATTAGCCTGGTAGTTCCACTGGGACCGGTAGTCAAATGTAAATAGTATACAACCACTATTTACATTAGTTAATCATGCTTTTATGTTTTGCTGCTTTATATACTTGTGTAATTATGTAATGTATATATGAATCTTTATTTTTTGTGCAAACTGCTTGATTGCCATTCATTCCATCTTCCCAAATCTATTTTGTTTTTAATGTATATATTTTATGAGCGCCTTGGCTTCGAATATATTTGCAAAAAAACAAAATATCGAACTGCATGCCTGGAATTATACATTATTTTTATTATTTATGCGTTTGATTTAAACCTCAGTAGAACTATCGAACTAATCTCTGGATAATGTCGGTTTGCTGATTCGGATGGAGCACGATTTACTCGATTACCAACCAGCGCAATCAACGGAGCAGGGCTAAGGACGCGTAAGATAAAAAAAAATAGTTTTTCATTCATTTTGATTGATGATTCAGTTTTAACTTTCTTTCATTTTCTGTGCATAATTATTATAACACATTCATTTGAAACCTCTTTAAACTAACGCGATCCCTCCGTTGATTGATCTTATAATTTACATCATACAGTAATAATCTGAACTGTAGTATCAACAAGGTTTAGCCCAACAAATTGTTGGGCCGAACTATTAGCCTGCTTTTCTTGGCAGACAACAAGTTTAAAAGTAGGTACTCCAGTGGCGGATCGACTGGATATAAAGGCTATGCTACAAAAGCAGGCCAATATGGACTCAATGACTCATGAAGTTCCCCTCCACGGAAATACCAGAGTGTAGTGTTAAATAAAACCAGAGCAAAACGTATCGCGGCTGCTTTTACAACCTCTCATCTTTTAGATCTAAGAATATTGAGCTTTGCTCAAATGAATTCCAGTTTTGTTGTTAGTAACAACCACTATGGAGGCTATATCCTAACACTGAGATGGCAACTTCGTACCATGATCTCCACAGTTTTGAAATTATTACTACTTGTTGCAAGCTAATATGCATTTTGAATGAAAATAAGCATCTTCTAGCCCTATTTCGATATATTCCAGTTATGAAGAATAAAAAGATTCGTTTGAATCATAAATAGAGAGGACTATATCCGCCACTGAGACTTCCCTTACAGTACTAACAAATACCTAGTTAGGAAGAAGCAGCCGACTGATACTTAGAAATAAAGATAATTTATAGTTTTCAGTGTAAAAAGATCAAACTTTGGCTTATTCTTAAAAACTTAGTTGTACCTAATATAGTAATAGCAAAATATAATATTGAGTAAATAATTTAAATGTCCGTTACCCAGGCCAGATGTTGTCGAAAATGTTTGAATCTTATAGATAATTAGTTTTGCGGCTTCTGTAATTGTTGCGCTTAGTTTTTTAATTATTTTACTAAAACATTTCCTGCTGGGGTAACGTTACCCCAGCCAGACCTTTTTCTTAATATATAATAAAAAAAAACAATAAAAACACCAAAATAATACATAGCTTAAAGGTTATTTCATTAAATAGAAAAGAACTTCAATTGGTCCCAATAAGAGCTCTAAAGACTTACTACTTAACGTTATATTAAGCTATGTAATATTTTATTAGGGTATGGTTTATTTTATTCCATAAAAAAAATAATCTAATTCCTAAGAAGCCATGTACAAAAGAAGATAAGAATCCGCTAAACCATTTCAAAGATCTAGCAAAGCCAAAACGTTACCCCAGCAAAATCTCGAATAAAAAACTTCGCAACCGATGAAAAAACAAATACAGAATTAGGCTCAACATTTACTTCATTTAGACAACTAATTTTATAGCTAGTAATTATTTAAATATTTTCCTATTAGAACGAAAAAGGTCTGGCTGGGGTAACGTTACCCCAGCAGGAAATGTTTTTGTGAAATAATTAAAAAACTAAGCGCAACAAATTTAAAAATGTGCGCAACAATTACAGAAGCCGCAAAACTAATTATCTATAAGATTCAAATGGCAATTTTCGACAACATCTGGCCTGGGTGACGCACATTTATGTACGAAATAATGAGCCAAGGTTTGTCTTTTGACCACAGTAGTGGTATGGGAGTGTTATGAGGTTGTTCTTGTTTCAGTGGCCCAAGAGGAGGACTCGCAGAAATAAGAAGTAAATGTTTATTAAATAAATAATACATAATTTATTCATAATAATAATATATTTGTGTTTGATATAATCATCTCATTATAAATCTGTGATTAAATAAATAGTGATTTTCTCTACTAATGTATTTCATGTAGATTAATACTTACAATCTAAGCTAACTAAGCAGCTTCATCGAAGTAGCCGTCCAGTTGTGTGGAAATCTGGAAGTACGTAAATTGAAAATATGCGTGAGAACCATAAAACTGCATGGTCTGTACTGTTCAGTTTCGCCCAAAACTCGAGAACGGCTGAACTGATTTAGATGAATTTACTATACACCTTTTTTAATTGATAGAAAATTGCAATGAATTTGGCAAGTGGCGACTGACCTGCAAGGGAGTGTACTTGACATATTTGTCAGGGTTCTTAGAGAACGGTAGACCGGCGTAAGCGTCGTGGAAGGCGGAGTACTTCGGCAGTATGGCCTGCTTGTTGTCGCGCTTGAGTGCCTCGCGCAGCTCCGCGTCCGGCACGCTGTACCCAGTCTGTGCGCGGGATACTTCCTCCCACTCGCGGTTGAACGACTAAACCATACATAAATGCAATTCTCAAAATAGAATAATGATCAAAGAATAAGTTTTGAACAATGTTCTCAAAATTAGGACTTTTTACACACACCAGCGGCGATACAAAGGTTTCGTGGCCAGCTATTGTTTCTGTAATCTTGGAAATGAAATCGCTTATTGATTAACAAGTCAAACTATAAAAAGTACTTACTGCAAACTTATCCTTCAACATCTGCCTGTCCTTGTCACGCAGCTTGGCAGGCAGGGGCTCGTCTAATACTGTGTGAGCTAGAAGCTTGTTCCAACTGCAATAACAAACAATACCTAATTAATATAGCTAAAAATAAACCTTTAGGTGTAAGGAGAGCGTACCTACGAAATTTCATCAGTACACTACTCTACCAATTGTTTAAGTACTGCGTCATACCGTAACGAGTCTACACAGATGTATCAAAATAATACCTCACCTTTGCAAGTAAGCATTTTTATGTTCCTGTATCATGTCCCTGTAGTTGACTTCACAGTCTGGCTCAGCCAGCATCAACACGTCTAGCAAGCCACTTCGCTGAAGACCCTGTAGGAAAAAAGGATGTATTAAAAATAAAAACTAAATCTTAAGTAGGTAGATAATTAATAAGGTCTACTTAAGATCCTCTAGATTCTAGTACAGCTCAAACGATTTCAAACCTAATATAAAAGTAAATAAAGAAAAACATGTTACCTGTAGTAAATATAAAGTGTTGTTCAGCAAAAATATCGCTTTCAGTGCATCTGGGTACTGCTCACTTTTGGTTCTTAGCGCGAAGTTCAGCTGCGCTAATACTTTACCTGTTGGTATACAATTTCATTTGAAATGAAGTGTACAACAATTATCTCTATTGACACTCGAAGAACGAACTAGTTTTAATAGATATGTTATGGGTCTCATGCAAAAAGGGTCAAGTTTATAAACTGGGCAATAGCAAGCAATTTAACGAATTTTGGAATTAATACGCTAATGATCCGATATCTCGACAGTGAGACAGTCGAATCGAAACTATTTACACGGGTATTGTAATAAAAGTTGATAGTTACGCATGTATACAGCCAACATGACAGCATTTCTATCGTGGACTCCCGACAGTTGACTGACTGCGCGGTTGTAGGATGGCTCCGTCGCGAGAGCGGGACCTGAAGTAAGTATAATATAAACATAATTATAAAGTATTTGTGTACATAATTAGGCCAAAAGAAAGCAAACATTTACAAAATATGAGAATGAAATGAAAGAAATTTGAATCTGTTTCTGAAGCAGACTGGTAAACATTGGTTTATGTAGTTTTGATCACGTGAATGGAAAGCCAAAGCCCGTACCGATGGTGGCGATGTGCGCGGCGAGTGCCTGGCAGTGCGCCAGCGCGGCCGCGGCCAGCTGGTGCACCGTGCCGTCCACCGGCGCCGGCGAACTGTCGCCGCGGACACCCTCCACCCACTCCTCCAGGGACTTCACGCACTGGGACAGGGACACGTCGGTACTACAGCTATCTAACACTTTGAAAACTGTATTAACATCAGCTTAACCAATAGCGAATTAATCGGAGGACATACAAGTAAGTGTGGGGGAGCCATGCTTCGGCACGAATGGGTCGGCTCGACCGGAGTGATACCACGGCCTCACAGAAAACCGACGTGAAGCAACGCTTGCATTGTGTTTCGCCGTGTGAGTGAGGTTACCGGAGGCCCAATTACCCTCCCCTTCCCCAATTCCTGAATCCTCAACGATCCTCTAACTCCTAATCCCCAAAAGGCCGGTAACGCGCTTGTAATGCCTCTGGTGTTTCAGGTTTCTATGGGCGACGTCAATTGCTTACCATCAGGTGATCTGTCAGCTCGTTTACCGGCTTATGCCATAAAAAAAGTCAAACTGAGAACTACATTCTTTCTTTTTTGAAGTCCGTTGAAAACAATATCATTCATTACAATTGTCGGTTGTTTGGTTGTTATTGTGATATTGGTTTCTGCCACAATCGTCAGTCAGTACTTACATTCTGCTGGCAGTGCTGCAGTATGGCTTGGTACGGCTGTGGCGAGGCGGGCGCCAGTGCTCGCTCTAGTTCAGGTTGCAGGCGCTGTAGCCGCGCCAGGACTGCCCAGCACCCCGCCGCACTGCCGCATTTACTCGCCGAGCGACGGGACTTCATGCACGCACGCTGGTGGAAAAAAAACACATGGAATATATTAAATATACGCTCGAATAGCATATAAAAACAGTATAAATCAGATGCAGATTAAACCTAAAGAGCGCCTTAGACAAGCACCCAGATAGGCACCTATATTTGCAGACCTGTGTGTTGGACCTCTAGAAGCCGTGTTTTTCACGTTGATTTTCTGCGAGGTCCTGTAACAGACACTTTTACTAACATAGGTAAAGTCTGTGCGCCCGTACCTCCACGTCCTGCGCGAGTATCGCGAAGCAGTCCTTGAGCAGCGCGGCGAGCAGCGCGGGCAGGCGCGGCAGCGGCAGCAGGCCGAGCACGTGCCGCTGCTCGTGTCGCGCCAGGCGACACAGCGCGGCCGCGGCGCTGCCCGCCAGCTCGGCCTCCCACTCGTCCAGCGCCTCGCTGCTCTCCTCCGTGTCTGCCCCGCACGACACACGAACGTTCATTTTGGACTTTCAAACTTTACGATAAAGGTAATAATAACTTTTCTATCCAGCTCAAAATTTTCGATATTTTGGACTTTACTATCACGCCATAACAAAAAAGTAAAACATGCGTTCCAGCTCGAATCCAATTTCGATACATTTTGAGCTAGATCTAAATGTTATGATCGTATTATTGCACTGAGTTGCATCGCAACCATACACCTAAAACAAACGAGATTGTAGCCTACAAACAATAAATAAAAAAATAATAACCAATGTTAAAGTACTTACAAGTTTCACAAACAGATTTCCTGGGTCCTATAGCGAATCCAGTGGACTGCTCCAGAGTTTGAGATGCTTTCATCATTATCTTGTTTGCACGTTTCTCGATACTGCAACAAAAACATTATAATGTAATAATTATTTATGTAGCAAGTCGCAATAATTATTCAAGTATTAGATTAATTCTATATTACATTTTTGTTCAAACTTACACTTTTTGCAATTTACTTGTCCTTCTCTGTGTGCTATCTGATCGATGTAATAGATTCTTGGCTCTCTGTAACAAAATATTAACGGTTTTCACTCACAAAATTGCTATTTAGACATTTACCTTAGTTCCTGTCCCACCAGAATTAATAGCTTCAGCAATTCAAGTGTAACAGAGACTTTTTATTTCTGTTTGGTATTACTTGAAATAAGCGATAACACTCACCATAAGCGGCGAGGCAGCCATAGACCTAGATCGTAGATAATCTTTGAAGGCAACAAGAGAGCTCTTAGCAGCAGGCGCCCTAATGGCCAGTAGTTGGTTGGCGGGCGGCACGCCGGCGGCGCTCAGCCAGGCGGCCGCCGCGCGCATACTGTCCAGCGCTGTGGCCGATGTACTGCCGCTACCACTCACTGAGACACTGTCCACACTCGAGTCTGCAAACACAAACCGGACGGATCAAAGATACACAGAAAATAGAAGTAAAACAGGAAAGAATGAGGTCTAAAAACAGTAGGAAATGTGTTTGGGTTGAAATTATTATGATGATAAGTTCCAATGAGGGTCTTCACAATTTGAAAGGAAGATGATGATACTATTCTGAAGTATTCTGCGTTATTTTGTATCATTAATGCATTGAGTATAATACTTATAAGTAGTTATGAATCTACCTTCTTCCAGAGCTATCATGTCCATTAGTGTGGTAGGCGATAGAGGCCTAGTGTTACGACTCAAAAGTTCTTCAAATGCATTCTCCAACTTTGATACACCAGTATTGTAAAGTTGATTCTGCAAATTAAATCTTAACTTTAATTGTCTGAATAAAATTGGGTAGTTTCCAGAGTGAAGAAAATTAAAAATCTAATTAGTCCGTCAGTTAGATAATGAAAAAGTATTAGACACGTATTTTGTTACAATACTCATCTGAGTATTGTAACCCAAACTAAACTCCATTTTATCTAAAATGGAGTTAAGTTTGGGAGTGAGAGTTTACGTCACAACGTGCTACATTCTGTTGCACGCTGTGACGTCACACGACATTTCAAATCAATATATCGTCGAAAGCATTTAATTTTGTGAGAAAAGAAAAAATACGTGTCTAATGTCTTAAAATAATCTACCAGACGGACATTAAAATTAAATTTAGGAAACTAGCCTATTCTATATGTAATGAGGATATTTGTTTTAGAATAGAAATGAAATAAAAGACAATTGGTATGATGACAGGGTATGAAAATTAAAAATCGAATTAGTCCGTAAGTTATATAGTAAATATTAGACACGTAATTTTTTATTTTGTCGTTTAATAAAACAACACTTAGATAAAACGAATCAAAGTTTAGGAGTGGGGGCTAAAACGTCATTTCTACGTATAAAATGGACATAGAAGTGACGTCACGCGACACTTGAAATCAAAGTAAGTAAGAAAATAAAAAAAACTTGTCTAATATTTTAAAATAATCTTACCAGACGGACATTAAAATATAAATTAGGCATCTACCTTATTAATAAAGAGTGACTTACAATATTTTCAAGTTCCACACTCTGAGGGTTGTTTTTGTTGAAATATCCTTGAGCATCTGCTAGCTTGTCCAGGGCCTATCAATGAATGAAATAAAATATAAAAAATACAATAAATTGCTGTTTAGGGATTGTAATAAAAAAATATTATAATTTTATTGACTTTGAAAAAGTGATCTTGCAGAGTGTTTTTTAAGAAATTATTATATATTATTCAAGTAATGTTAGCAAGAAACTTACTTCAAGATAGACGTTAAGTGAATCAGTAGTGCTGGTGTTAGGCCCAGCCTGTATCAAATCTACGAGCTCTCTGGACACCATGTAGTAGTTTATTACATGCTCCAAGGAACGGACTGTGCGTTCCATGTCTAAAATATAAATAAGTAATAACAACATGTTAAAATATAACACAAGTAACTACATAAACAAAGTAGATATTAAATATTGAGTAATTATGGGAGGTTATATTCAGCAATGGATATCTTGTGGACAATTACATGATGATGGTGATGATTATACATATAAATAAGTTGCTATAAAAATAAATGTTCTGATTCTAGTGCTGTCGCTATCTTACTTTGATGAATGTGTTGGAGCCTGGCAGTATCTCCATAAAGAGGCAGTACAGCAGTCTCCAGCTGCTGCAGGCGCTGCTCACATGCCCCGAGGACATTGCACACATCATTCGCAAGAGATGAGCCACGATTAGCTGCAGCCTTCAACTCTTGGATATTTGTCATCTCCTAAAAATGATAAGAAATGGATTAGTAATTACTGGCTTTTTTTTTTTTTTTTTTGAGGGGGGAAAATCATCCAATGACTTCTCCCGCCTGGGTGAGGCGGGAGGGAGTGTCAGACTCTTACTGACTAAAAACCACCCCGTTCCTACTCCTGCACTTCGAACCGGAGCCCCGGCCAACCCGTTAAGTCTTCCGCGGCTCCGTATCGGCATCAGCCTTGTTAGGCCCCATCTGTGGTGGTCTGATGGCTCCTTGAGGCGCGCGCGGAACGCGACGCGCCGTACGCTCGGGCCTGGTTCTGGTCGGGCGGCGAGTCACCCATGCTCGCCGTCCGCAGGCCCGTGCTTACGGTGGCCGGAGATCGTCTCGCGATCCCCGACGCCCGGAGTGTCTCTCGCGACGGCCGGGTCGTGAGGAGGTTCGTTCCCTCACGCGCTCCGCCTCCTCCTTAGCTAGCATGACTGCTTCGCAGAAGGAGGAGACGGCATCCCAGTCCCCCTCGCTCCGTACCATGGTCTGAACCAGAGCCGGACGCGAGAGGTCGCCGTCGCCGATCACATTCCTGAGGACACGGCGGTGCTCAGTCCACGCAGGACACACCGCCACCGTATGCTCCACCGTGTCCTCCGGGCGATCCTCGCAGTGATGACACCCGGGCGTTTCCTCCCGCCCAATCCGAAACAGGAACCTACCGAAACTTCCGTGTCCGGTAAGCACCTGCGTCAGGCGGTAGGTGAGGACGCCGTAGCGTCTCTCAAGCCACTCCTCAAAGAGGGGACTTACCGCTGCAATGACAGCGAGCCCAGCCTTCGGTTGCGACAGTCGTTGCTGCCATTCCGCCATGAGATCACGCCGGAGCTCATCCCGCCACGCATTAATCTGGCGCGGCAGCGGAGTTTCGCCCCGGCGACGTGCCTCCGCGCGCAAACAAAACACGCGCGCGAGCACCTTCGCCTCCAGATCCCACGGCGGTAATCCGGCAAGGAGGTTCGCCGCCTCCCCGGAGATCGTGCGATATCCGCGTATCAATCGGATCGCCATGACCCTCTGTGATGTAGCAGCGCCCGAGCGGCCGCCGCATCAGGTTCGGCGCCCACACAGGGGCGCCGTAGAGGGCCATGGACCGCACGACCCCGGCGTATAACCTCCGGCAGGAGGCGTTTGGCCCCCCGAGGTTGGGTAGGAGGCGCTTAAGCGCCGCCCCCGTCCTTTCCAACTTAGGAGCCAAACGTCGGAAATGCTCCACGAAGTTCCACCGACTGTCGAGGACGAGTCCTAGTACTTCATCGTCGTCTCGACGCCGATGGTAACTCCTCCCGCCGTTAATTGGGACTCACCCGGAGGTGGCGCGTTCCCGCGGCCATGAAAACACATGGCTTCGGATTTGTGGAGCGCCACCTCGAGTCCCAGTTGCCGGATTCTTTCAACGACTGTCGTAACCGCTCTCGCCGTTAAATTAGCCGCCGCCTGATGCGACCTCCCGTGTGCTAAACTAGTGTGTCGTCAGCGTAACAGACCACGCTGACGTTGTTCGGGAGTCGGTGCGCAGCACCCAGTCATAGCCGATGTTCCACAGGAGCGGCCCCAAACCGAACCCTGTGGAACACCGCGCGACGTCTCTCGCCGGTTCCACTCACCTCGGTGACCGGGGGGTAAATGACGGACCGTTCCGTCAGGTATGCCTCGATTACACGACGGAGATAGGTGGGCACCCGATGATATCGAAGTGCCTCCAAAATGCAGCTCCAGGGCAGGGAGTTGAAGGCATTGGCGATGTCCAAGGACACCGCCACTACGACCTTACCCTGGACACTGCAGTCCCCGTCGTGAGGTCTCTTACACGCATGATGGCGTCCACCGTGGAACGCCCTCTGCGAAGCCGAACTGGCCGTCCGACAGGTCCGGCCCAACATCCGACAGGTGCGCGACGAGGCGGTTCGAAATGATCCTTTCGAAAACTTTTCCCACCTCGTCGAGCAACACGATGGGCCGGTACGCGGACGGAGAGTCCGCAGGGCGCCCCGGCTTCTTCACTAGGACCAATTTACCCGCCTTCCACAATAGCGGGAACTGGCCCCTCTCCAAGCATGCGCTGTAGAGACCAATTAATCGAGGCTCGAGAGCCTCCGAGGCCAGGACCCACGCCTTGCCGTGCAGTCCGTCGGGTCCCGGGGCGGTGTTTTTGGCGCCCATCCGGCGCACCGCCGCTCTCAACTCGGCCTCGGTCACCTCCGAAACTGTGTCGCCGTCGTCTTCGCTGTGGCCCACATAGGGCACCGCAGGGGGCGGAGTCATGGACGGAGGGGTGAAACCCCTCTGTAGTCGGGGGAACAAGGCGCCGACCACCTCCTCCACTACCTCTGGCCGGAGACTCTGAGTCAGCGGGGGAGCCCATGTGCGGAGCTTATCCCGCACCATCCGATAGGGGCGTCCCCACGGGTCTCTGTTCAGAGTCTCCAAGAACTCCTGGAGGGCATTCTCTTTGGCCCGCCGTATCTCCGCTTTCAGGGCGGCCTTCGCCGCCTTGTACCCCTCGTACAACTCCGCCTCTCTGACCTCTGCGTCCTGAGGACGGATGCGAAGCCTGCGGTGCCTGGTGTACCGGCGTCGCGCAGCAGTGCATGCACTGCGTAGAGCAGCCAGCTCTTGCGACCACCAGTACGTCTGGCGCTTGCGCTGACCTGGCCGGACCCGGGGCATCGCCACGTCACAGATTCTGGACATGGCGTCCTGGAGCCACCTCGCCTCCTCATCGATGTCGGCAGGCCTGTCCGGTGGTATCACCCAGGCCTGCACGATTGCGGCTTCAGGAATAGCTCCCGGTCCAGCTGTCTCAGCGCCCAACGCGGGCCACATGGGGCCTGTCTGACCAGCGGGTCCGCGGACTCGGTGGAGACGTTAAACCGGATATACCGGTGGTCGGAGTACGTTTCCACCTCCTCCATGACGCGCCAGTCAACAACACGCGGTGACAGAGCAGGGCTAGCGAACGAAATGTCCACCACCGACTCGCCCTGCATCCGCACGCACGTGGGGACAGAACCCCGGTTCAGGACGACTAGGCCTGCCTCAAGGGCCCAGTCTTCCACCATCCTACCCCGAACGTCAGTAAACCGGGAACCCCAAGCCAAGTTCTTGGCATTGAAGTCCCCGAGGACGAGCACGGGGAGGGAACGGAACCCGACAACGACGGCGACCAACTCCCTCAGGGAGTTGTGGAACTCGGCGAGAGTTCGGTTCGGAGAGAAATACACGCCCACCACAGCGATCTCTCCGAACCGTGCTGCGACACAACCCCGGCCTCTCTGAACGGCCTCGAGAGTCGGGGTTCCGGCGGCGGCTGACGAGATGATGGTCACCGAGCCGTCCAAGTCTGCCACCCAGTGATCCCTGGGCGGGACAAAATACGGCTCGGAGACCACAGCGACATTTATTGACCACTGCGCCATGCTCTGAAGCAGGAGATCCTGAGCGGCGGCGCAGTGGTTGATGTTCGCCTGAAGGAGGCGGAATGGAGCTATTATTGGCAATCCATCCCACCTCTTCCCTGACGGCATTAGCCAGTGGTGGCCGCGGCGACGGTAGCAGTGGCGACTGCAGCGGCGGCGGCGGGACTGACGGGGGCAGCGGAGGGCCTACCTTGCCCCTGGATTTGGCAGGAGGGGAGCAGGCCTTGCTCCCGACCCGGTGATTGGCCGGCTTACCAACCGCCGCACATGCGTGACAGTGCAGCGGGGCAGAGCACGAGCCGGCTCTGTGACCGGGCTGACCGCAACGGAAGCAGCAGTCACTGCGGTACCTCCGAGGTGCACCTAGCGCTCACGTGGTCACCTACGTGGCAGCGGTAGCACCTTATAGGTCGGACCTCGAGCAGTTTGACCTGCGCCGAGACCCAGCCTACCAGGAGCCTTCGACCCTCCTTTATTTTCTTGGCCGCTGAGACGGGGCAGCTCACTACAACCGTTCGCAACCCCGAATTATCTGCACGGATGGTGCCGGCCTTAACTTGCTCGCAGGCACTCACCCGTCCTGGCCACCGCGGCCACGACCTCCTCCTCCGTCACGGAGTCGTCCAGGCCCATTATACGTAACTCCAGGCACTTGGTTGGCCTTGACACGCGAGCCTCGTCTGCACCAAGGCACACTCTGAGCCTTTCGGCTAGAGCGTCAGCGGTTGGACCGCTGGTCGCGCCGGGGACCTCTAGTAAACGGGCTCCAGTCGCCGTCACTTTCAAAGAGAACCCGTTAGGGGCCCCGTACTCCGCGGGAGTTACCGCCCGCTTCAGTTTGGCGAGGATGTCGCCATATGTCACGCCTCTTTTGACCGCGTCCGGCTGTAGAGTTATCACTACAGCCGCGGTTTTAGGGGCGACAAGCATTGCCGCAGTGCGCTTTTCCTTGCGCCGCTGCCGCTGCCTCTGCCGCTGCACCTTTTTTCGGCGCTTTCGCCCTTGCTTGGCGACCCTCCTCGCCTCTCCGACCACCTGCCATCCGCCGTCGCTGGCAGGGGAACCCGAAGTTCGGGTAGGCTCCACAGCTGGGGCAGTAGACGGCCCAGCCACGGCGCTCCCTCGCCTACGAACTGTTGACGCCCTCACCACCGGTTCAGCTGGAGCCTGCGCCGGCGAAGCCGCCGGCGGTTGGGCCCGGACACCGCGGCTGGACCGACCAGGAGTAGTCGGCATAGCTGCCGCAGCCGCAAATGTGCGCGGTGCTGCTTGACTCCCTGCGAGTGGGGGGCGGAGGATCCTGCTCTCCAGCACGTCAAAACGCTGCTGGAACGCAGCCATCTCCCGCCGCACCAGGCCGATTATGTCGGCCTCCACTGGCTGCGAGGCTCGGGGTCGACCCTCACGAGCAGCGGCGAGCTCGGCCTTGGCTGATCGAAGCTCGGCCTCCATAGCCGCATTGGAGGCTGTCAGCCGGATCATTTCTCGGCGCATCTCCCCCAGCTCTTTTTGCAAGGCGGCCATCTGCTGCCCTGCCGCTGAAGGCAGCCCACACTGTCGAGCTGCTTTCATAATGGCTGCCTTCGCTTGCCTTAACACTCCGTTTCGGCCCTTCTCGGACTTCTGCCCAGCCACCGTCCGGAGTGTTTCTTTGACCACCTTGAAAGTTCGCCATTTATGGCACCAAGGTCGCCTACCGAGCCCTCGCCGCCAGATTCTGATGAGTCAGCTTCAGCTGACTCGGCCCGAGTAGCGGCCATCGGCCTCTCGCAGCCCTTTCTTCGACCCCTACCCCGCGCAGCCGTAGGGATCTTAGGGGCTGGAGCCTCCTGCTCGTTGGAGGACGGATCCCGGCCCTCCTTCAACCTGGGACGTTTAAACGTCCCCTTTTTTTGGCGCTGTGAACTCAAGCTACGCAATGAGTAAGCGCCAGATGCGGAAGAGTAGTCAGACTCTGCTTCCGACATCCTCCGACTTAATGCCCGTGTGAGGGATTTGCTGGACGACTCCAACGCTTCCCCACGGGTTCCAGAGCCACCCTGGCTCTCCCCGCCAACAGCAAGCGAACTAAGCTCGCTTGCCCTCTCCTCCTCCGGTGTTTTTTTTTTTTTTTTATTATTAGACTCCATACAATTCCCACGAGTATGGGGGAAATAAACGGTCCGCCCAGGCAGTGCCCCCTGTACCTGGGTAAGTGTATATTTGTTTCCCAACTAGAGGGTCCACCGGTGCTCTAGCTGGGGGTGCGCTCACGACTGACACTACTCCTCAGCCATGCATACCCTCGCCGCGCACCAGAACTTGGTATTGGAGGAATTTTTTATAGAGGTTATCTTCCTCGCGGTCCGGGCGACCAAGCCAGGACCCTCGTCCCGTTCTGAGTCATGAGACATCCATGATCTCTTCTCGGATTACGATTTCGACGGTTGCAGTCGAGGACTCATGTGTCCCGATGCTGCTCGTTGGCAGGGTGAGTGCGCAACGAGCACCGCCCTTGCCTCTCCGCCACGTTCTCTGCTAAGTTCAGAGAGACGGGCGGAAAAACATCCCCTCGGAAGCACAGGCTATATATCAGCACACAGCCCGCCGCCTCCAGAACCCATCCTGGGTTCGTCCGCCCCGTCCAGAAGTTAGCTACAGGCAATAGCCACTCCAACCCTATCACTCCCGTTAGGGAGACTATCATCTGTACCCAGGGTGCACCACGGGGAGGTCTTCTGGCACCGCACCCCATTACTGGCTAGGCCTGAGTACCGGAGAACATGTACTGTGTACAACATAAAATACCACCTTTGACACGCCCCCAAAACAGTTGTACAATAATAAAAACAAGTCATTTTATTTACATCAACAATATAAATTATGTTTTTCTGTTTATTGCGAAGCTAGATATTAGATTATGCCATTGCCAACTTATAAGATCATCGAATTATAATAAGAAAGTTAAATAATTACAAATTCAGAGTAAACATACCTTTCGTAACTTCATTTCTATTTCGAATTTTTTCTCTACAGCATACATCTTGTTGATGTTTTGATATTCTACGATGATTTTTCGTTAATTAGGATTCCAATTAGATCAGCAAATCATTACTATATCTCAAAAAATTGTATAAAAAAAATTGTGGAATTTTGATTTTTCCAACTGTGTTGACAAAATTGACATTTGACAGCTGACAGCAGTTGGATTGCCATGGTCATATCATTTTAAAGTATTTATTATTCAAATAAAAACTTAAATAAAATTAAAACTAACTAATACTACATGAAATATATACAACTTAAGATTAAAATTATTTAAAAGAATTAAAAGACAAAATTAAATTATTTTGTCTTTTAATTTAATTTTGTCTTGCCCGTGTTTGACTGACTAAAAAGCTATCAAGAATTCTGAGTGTGAGATGAATATCAATTTATTTTATTTTACACAGAGTTAAAAATTATCTCTGCATCTGCAAAATTATTATATTGATTAAAAATTACTTAAATAAAAATATAACTTTTATCGTTCATATTTTATAACTTAAGAATATCCGAACGTGCAATTTGTGATGACGTGCCGTGAATCTCGAAACGTGGCTGACGTTTGCGTTGTTTTGTCAGTTTTGCGTTCGTATTTTCCGATCTAGGTTGCTGCTATTACTACAGTAAATTGCGCTACGCATAGTATTACTTAAATCAAGTAATTTAATAAATTCAAGTAAGTTCCCGCAGTTTATTAAGTGTTTCTATTTGAAATTTTATTGGAAATCGGCGTTGTTTTAACTGTACCTTGTCCTATTTCTAGAATAATGGATCAAATCGCTAAGTTCGTCGAGCCTGGCAAGCAGTTCGCTAAGGACTCCATCAGACTGGTCAGGAGATGCACAAAGCCTGACAGGAAAGGTGAGACTTATTCTAATTCTGATTTAATATCAAAACAGTGATTACAGTCGACACAAGTTAGTTTGCGATGTTGGCACTTATCCATTGGAGTCCCGTTGTTTCTAGATGTTTGCATTCTAATTAAGCATCAGTAAATAACAGAAAGTTTCACTGATTTCCATTTGCTCTTACGTTAAAAAGTCGAAGTATCACAGTTTACTCAATAAAACATATAAGACATCACATATGTTATGAAAATGAAAGTTACTTTAGTACTTATCTTGTCTGCCTTATTTATTAAGTGTTTTCAGCCTTTCTCTAAGATTTCCTACCCTTCAATATCACACACAAGAATCTATATTCTTATTACTTCAATATGCATAAATAAAAACTATTAATATCTCATAATTTTCATCTTCCTATATGATATGATCACAAATCTTCAATACATACCTGAGTTCTAATATGTAATGTAATTACTGAATATGGTATTGAAAGAACCTATTTTGACTAATCTATTAAAATCAAGGAGGTAAAAATAGTGATTGTTTTGTCAGCTGATTTCTGATATTGTGTATTCCACTCTTATTTAATGGCCAAAATAATTAATAATAACAGTATATAAACTATAGTATAATAACTAGTATAATTTTAATGTAATAATAATAATGAAGTTTCTGTAAAAAACTAGATTTTGTAATAAGATCTATTTTTATTTTCTGTCATTAAGATAGTCCATTTTAATAAATTAGGACTAAAAATTGCGGGTTACTCACATGAATATACTGTGAAAAGCTCTACTAGTTTCAAACCAAAGAGGGGTACTCCCCTCTTTGGTTTGAAACTAGTAGAGCTTTGAAACTAGTAGGAAGTATCCTCTCATGATCATGTAGGCTATGCAACATCGCCATAACCCGCAATTTTTAGTTAATTTAGTATGTCTCACGTTAGTTATTTAAAAAACAAATTAAGTACTTGTTGATTTCTATTGCATTTTTAGGTTGGTTCTATACCCATACGGAATAATTGTGCGGCAACTTGGCTCCTGTAGGAGTCAGGTGGCCGGCAGGTAGGTAGGTAGGGGTCCAAATAAAGTACACTTTTTTTTTTTAGAAGTAGTTCACTCTATTATTGCCAAATATCTGTTGCCCCAATCACGTCCAGGTTCGGGGTAATAGGTACGCTGAGAACACTGGCCTGAACCGTGGAGTAGCTCTGCAGGCGGTCCGGTCTCGTTCCAAATGCCTTCCAGGTCTTCAGCAGGGCCTAGGTAGTTCCCAGGTAGAAGGAGGTCTGGTCTTCCACTCGCCGCCAGGTAGATGGCTGCGATGCGAGGTTAATAGTAGAATATAAATCCGCCAGGTAGATGGCTGCGATGCGAGGTTAATCGTAGAACATGAATCCCCAGCGGGATTCCGATTACAATTTATATAATTGATTTAAGGTAGATTTAATTAGGTAGGTAAGTACGATCTTGCAACGTAGGTCGTCCGCGATCGAGTGACACAGCCGTCACCTCTGATGCCTTTAAGTTGACTCTCGTTGGATTTTACGAATGCCCCCGAGACGAGCCGACACGACTAGTTATTAACTCGTTTAGAGATGCGTAGGCGCAATAGAAGCGAGGACCTTTGCGTAAACAATTAATATTGGGTTCCGTAATGTTTTTATATAAAATTAATTATTTTGATGCGTTTTAAATTAGTAAGTAGTAAGATGTGTTTCTATTTGTTTATTTAGTGTATTTTAATAATAGTTTTAGAATAATCTATTGTAATTATTTATAATTTATATGGTTTCGAAGCTATTTTTAGGGCAACAAGGTACAACGTTACAGTACCCCCCTCATTAGCGTAGGATTTTTCCTAGGAAAAATCCGCTGCTTTCGCTCTTGCTGATAACTGAACCGAGTTACCCTTTCATTCATCATCATTCATCATTTAATCATCCCTCACTTTTCATTATTCCTTACATTAACTAGCCGACGTCACAATAGACATCTGTGCGTCAGCATCCTTTCGATCTGAGTATTCTGCTACCAGTGCACAGAACACTCCCCAGCTCAATTATGGGTGGAAAAAAATTAAGCTGACTTGGAGCGATTACTATCTCCACATAACTACTAATTGATAGAATAATAGACTTAGGAAGAATAGATAATAAGTTATGTTTGTGATTGAGGCTTATTTATAGAGTAATCAACCGCTCTTGCAAAGGCTTATTTAAGGAGTTGCACCGCTCCGTAGAATACCAAAGGTGTAGGGCCTTTAGCGTACATAACTGAAGGAATCTATGGGGTAGAACCATGATCTAGTTTCATTTATGGACATCGGTGTAGGGCCGATAGTCATAGTATATTTAATATGATAGTAATACATTGTGTGGGTTAGACCATCATCATAATTATACACTATTGGGGTAGACCAATACGTATAAAATAGAAAAGGAATAGCTTTGTGTAGTAGTAGTAGTAGTGGTAGTAGTAGTAGGTACTGTAGGTAGTTATAGAATTTAGTGTTCAGATATTAGTTTTAATTCGATTAAAATTTTGTTCAAAAATTATTTAAGTATAATTTAAGGACGTGGCCGGATCCAGTGTGTGTACACAAAGCACCGCTAATTAGTTGCAGCGCAACACATCGACACTGCTGTCATCTACACAGTGTACATGTGTGGGTAATTTCATATTACTGTGTATAAAAATATTCGTCCACCACGTTCACATTGGTATTTTCATTCTTGTGTCGGTATACGTATTTTTATAATTTAATGCATAGGTAAGGTTAAAACTATTTACAATCATTGATATGACCCGACATTTTCACTGTCATTATCGTAGTGCTCGTGGTCGATTGGTTAATGCGTACGCTTTTATCGCCTTTCAAGGATCAATGATGTGGGTTCTATTCCAGCTAAAAGTTTATTTTATTTTACCTTGTTATTTTTCTTCTAATTATTTTTTTTTGTTTTTTGTCATAAAATATAAATATCAGGCTATAAAAGAAGCAAATGAGTTGGTAAATAAAACAATACTATTTTTTATTACAATTAATTTATTTATTATACAAATATGTTGTTTTATATTTATATCTAATATTAATTATTAACATGTTAAGTTAAAGTTCTTTAAATCATAATTAATAGATATGACAATAAACCTCATAGTCGAATCGGGAAATATCATGCGGTACAGCGGTAATACGATGGCAGCAACATTTTTTATTGAGTAATAAACAAATACAACATTCTTGTTTTGTAATTTAATAATACATAAGTAATAAACAAGTAAAACATGTAAAAAATTACACTGTCAACATAATATTTCGTGAAATGGGCGACTTTTTTGTCGTTTGAATCTTCCATTAATTATGTATTTTACGACGGTTGTTATAAGGTTCAATATTCAGTGGGCTGTATGATAGTAAAAAAAATGTGACGAATGCTATGGAACGATTTTAACATTCATGACCTTTAGAATCAGGGAAACTTTAAATTAATTAAAGATGGGCGTAAATATAATATGTCTATCAAGTTCGAAAGCAGTTAAATAGATTTGTTAATGAAAAATTAAAGTGAAGTGAATCAACATGTTGAATAGAAAGAAATGGTGACAATTTCTAACCACAAAACAATAACATCACTTCACCGTATGCTTTAGACAGCATTTTAATATTCTTGCAAAAATTAAACATTATTATAAGGTAATTTTAATAAAGGCGGAGTTTGACAGGCTCAATAATTGATTCCGAAATCAATACAATCACTGATCCTACAAGGCAGAAGGTTGCAATTCGTATACCTTTCTCCATCTTTTCTCCACAATATTTTACGCCCATCCTTATCCGACTTGAAAGTCTTTTCGTCGCTCAATATGATTACACTGTTCGCCCAATCAAAATTAATAAAGTCCCTAGCAAATTCTTAGCGCTTTTGCTGGTGAACCACAGATAACAATATTTTCTTCTCTGGCTTCCTGCACCTTAAACCAGAATGCAGGTGTCTCCGTACAGTTTGTATTAAAACATTCAGTGCTGTCGCTGTAGTGCGTGTTGGCAGGAACGGATCAGCCTTGTGCCTGGCTACGATGTCGTAGTGCCGAGCCGATGAATTTGCCTTTGGTTTAGGCCACGTCGACGATGTTCAACGTCACCGGTCTCC